TGCTTGATTGTACCCATAATAATTTGAAAAATTACTAAATTACCTACATAATAAAAAAAAAATTGTTAAAATCGTATAATTATTAACAAAGATACAGTCTATTAGTTTTGAAATACATATTAGTTTCTTCCTCTTTAAAGGTATTGCATTTACTATTCTACTACACTTTTTTTTCCTGGCTGATATATTATCTTTATTATTTCTTAAAGTCATTTGTTTGTTCTTACATTTTTTTTTTTTTTTAATAATTTAGAAAATCCCATGATCGAGGCTTTATTTTGTCTTTATTATCTTTCCAGTCAGCGTTTAAAAATAGGTCCTAGCAAAGCAATTTGTAGAAATATTTTGGTCTATTATGTTAAATGGAATATTATTATCGCCCAAGGAAAAAATATTAATTCCTTCCTTGTATAATACATAGGATCTACTTATTTCCATATTGCTTGGATTTTTCTTCACTAAACAAAATTTTCTGCGAATTATTCGCACGGGCCAACTAGTCAATACTATTTAAATTCATTTACTTACTGCATTTTAAGCGTTTATTGTGTTTGTTTCTAACTCACATCTCGTATTGTATAACTTAAATTGAACGTGACTATAAAATTATTTAAATTATATATATTATCTTTTTTATATTAAAGATCTGTTTATTGAGATAAAATACATAATATATATTACTAGCATCGTAAATTACTGTTTTCTATCAAACGTATTATTTTTTGATAACAATGGAGGGCTCCTCAACCTCTTATGGGTCATTTTATCCCTTACACAGTATTTATATTACAATACATAAGATGAAATTTACTATTAAAATTCCCACCAATTTACCTATACTCTTCGTCGTATACCTATGACTTCCTGTCCTACAGTATTCTTTAACAATAATCCACTTATCCCTGTTGAACAAATCCGATACCTAGGACTCCACCTGGACAAACGACTCACTTCACGGAACCCTCATACCAGATTGAAACGACTAGAAACAGCCCGACTTTTTCAACTACTGCAGCACTTACTAGGCAAACACTCTAAAGTTTCAACTAATTACAAAAGACTCATATTTATTACTATAATAAGGCCTATTCGGACTTAGGGAATATATTCCCAATCGGAATGTTTCTGTTGGAAGTCCGTGAACTCTGCTAATCCCAATTTTGACGCAAGGGCCATGTTACATTTGACTCAATGTATTTTTGGAATTGGTAGCAGCCTAGGGCTCTGTTTGCAATTGCCGTACTTCTAGAATGGAAGGAAAAGGTGCGAGATCAAAGTCTCTGATGTGTATGGACACCTTTCTTATAAAGAAAATTTAGTTGGTGGGTTTACGAGAACAGTTGTTGATATAACGAGTGTGTTTTTTAAAGGGTGAGTGGGTCTTGATATAATTATTTTTATATAAAACGCCAAGTCTAAAATTTGCCTTCGTACAGCCAGTGCCATTATACCAGCTTCCACTTGAAGACTCGCTATGGGGCTTGATCGAAAAGCAGCGGTGGCTACTCGAAGTATTGTGTTTCGGATCGTATCCAGCCAGCATCTCAAGTGCCCTATTGCTAGCGGAACCATACACTATACAAGCATAATCTAATGTGCTCAGTATAAGTGCCTTATATAATCGTATTGTGCTGATTCTATCAGTTCTCCAGTTGTGATTTCTTAACTTTTTTAGGATATTTAAAGCCTGTAGACAATTATCCCTAAGCTGTTTAATTTAATGTGTCCATGTAAAACAGCGGTCTGAAATGACACAAAGATATTTAATATTTATAACGGTAAAATTTCGCTTCCTCGTAAATAATATCGTCTGTGTTTTGTTGACGAAAATTTTAAAACCACGTGTATTAAGCCAAGATGTAACACCTAATAGAGATTATTGCAGAATTTCGTGAATAAGCGTAGTATCTTTACCCTTAACATAAATCACTACCTTGATAAATAACATATATCAAAATGTTAGCTGGGAACCTTACTTTTGTAGCGACTCCGTTAAGTGCAAGGCTAAATAAAATAGGACTGAGTACGCTGCCTTGTGGGGCACCGCTTATTTGTTCAAATTCGTGCACTGATATTGCATTGCCGGATCTTACATAAAACTTCCTATTGTTTAAAAAGTTAAATATAAATCCAAACATTTCACAGTATATCCCAATTTCTGTTAACGCCTTTAGTAATTATTTTACGCATATTCCTTTGATCGAAAAGTTCCTATAATGTTAGGTTCTAATTTTATTAGATTGCCTAGTGTACTTCTGCAACCACTTTGTCACAAACAAAGAATTTTGACTACTTTCCATAAACCATTTTAAACTATTGGCTATCATTCTTTCCAAGAGCTTGCAAACGCAACTGGTTAGCGCGATAGTTCGGTAACTGGACATCAGAATTAACTGTCAAACCAAAAATTATTTTATTTACATATATATATATATATATATATATATATATATATACAATACAACACAATAGGTCATAATAATGGTTACAGGCTTATGGTAACATTACCTTACACATGTTACAATAATGTGGTATGATTGCTATTTTTTTATGCTGAAATATATATTTATACAAGAGGAGAAATAAAACAAAAAACCTTATATAAGTTATAAAAATGAATAAATATCATAAAAACTATATACTGACATTAAAATGTATAAACAAGATTAAGACTAAGCACACAGTCACATGTTGTATATCTTATAAATTATTATTCAATAATTGCTGTGGGAAGTATGTTGCTGCTTGTTTATCGGTATTTCTAATGTTATAAAGTTGAGTTTTGTCATGTTAGGAGTATATGTTTTGTCCGTTTGTGTGTGTACCGTTTCAGTGATTTCTTGTCATAGTTTCCTATTGTTTGGATCACTTCTAGTTTTATATAGTTGGACTTACAAGTATAACTCCGTACTGGAGAAGAATATGTTGTTATAGGCCGAATAACTGCTTAATATAATTTTTTTTACGATAATTGGGAGTATATATTGAAATACGGGGACATTTTGCAAATGTTGTTTACATGCCAGGTGAAATTTACGGACTTATCAAGTTCAAGGCCTAAATATTTCACTGAATTTGACCATGAGATCTGTTTTTCTTTTATGAGTATGTTATGAGTTGTACTTAGTCTTCTTTTTGTCAAAATTATTGCTTCTTTTTTTTTTTTGTTCGTTTAATTTTATCTAAAGCATTTGATGAGTCTTATAAGGTGGGATTGTAGTCAATCAATTCTGAAAGAATATGAGAAGTAAGTGTATTACAATAATTGTTACGATAAATCTTTCACTTTCGTTAATAGCTATTGTTTAAATAAATGTACTCTATTTTATATATTTATAATTTTTGTTTTCTGATTCGTATACCGTATTATGTGATAAATATTTAATTATATAAAAAATACAATTATTTTTAAAAAAAGTATTATTTAGTCATAAATGTTTTCAATTAAACCTAATAGTTAGTGTTGCCCAAAATCGGTCTTGGTCTTGCACTTTGCAAGACCAGGACCAGGACTGGTAAAAAAATCGATTTTTTAAATAAAAATTAAGGCAAAATATTTACTAATACTTGACGATCTTAGTTACTATATGTTAATAATTGGTATAACCTTGTATAATTGGTATATACTTTTGCATTTAACTCCTCTAATTTTTCATTCGGGGTTAGTTGAGTTTCTCGTATCTAAAAAATTACTGTAATATCTCTATAGTATTAAGCTAATAAGTAACATCAAGACTGTTTGCGAGACTTGCGCAAGACTCGTCTCGGTCTCGCATTAGGGCAACACTTACTTATTGTGCAGATAGTTTTCACTTTTATTAATTGCTCCTATTTAAATAAATTTAATGCATTTTATGCACTTATTATTATTCTTTTCTAACTCACATTACGTGTTTCATGATAAAAATTTAATTTGAATATAAAGTTTAAAAAATAATTATTGAAAAATATGTTTCTACTTATTTATGAAGATATCAATACTTCCCCTAAAACTATAAATTTTTATTCTGCACCAATTTCTTGCAAGATCAAATAATGATCAGTTAAATCAAAACAGATAACATAATGGTATAGCCGCATTAAATTTTTATTTAGTTTACTAACCTTAGTTGCGAGCTGTTATAGAGTATTTTTAAAAATAAATAATAATTAGTTTATAACAATACGATGGAAACATTGGTATGTTTCGTTTCATATTTACAGGTTCCATTAGTCATCCTCCAAAACATATGCAAAATAATCGAGGAGGGGTTACCCGCTCAAAACTAGTCCCGCCTTGGGCACTTCACTTGCCGCCTATAATTCATATCTTGGGGGGTAAAACGTATCTCCAACTATCAGCATTTAAATTATTGTTATATTTATTTGTTTTTATTGTTATTATTTATTATTTTTGAGTAGTATAATAGTTTTTTTATACATATATCTTTTCCTCGTGAATATTTCTTGTTTAAAAATATTTTGTTTTTACTCAATATATTATTAATACCCATTTTATATATTTTTTCTGTATTTTAATAGTATTTATTTTATTTTTATTTATTTTTCTATAAAACAAATATATAAAGAATTTAAAATTTTCCAGTTCACTTTAGATTCAAATATCATTTATAAATGAGTTAAATGAATAGAAATATATGAATATCTATTTATTTAGAATTAGAGGCACTATTAAACAATATTGTTTCCAAATATTCAAGTAATTTTTCTATGAATTAAAGCTTTGTTGTTTAATTAATGTTTGGGATAATAAAGAATGAATTTAAATTATTTCGGGAATTCTGTTAATAATTATTATTGATATATCCATTTCCTTGGTGGGTAATTAGAACTAAGCGGTTCCGTGTTTGGTTCAAATTAGGGTGTACTAAAAAGGAATGTAAGAAAAAAAAATATTAATGTTTGGGCGGGTAAAGGTATGGCGGGAATAAAGGTCAAAGACACGACAACACTGAGGGTAACCTTCCCTATTCCTATCTCGCGCCCAAGGCAACCATTTTCGATCTGCAGTTCCCACCAAAACAAGCTCCAGCCAGTAGCTTGTCTGCAGTGCTTCTAGCATCTTCTCGTAGTGTCTCTTCTTTCTTTATGCATTTTTGTGATTTTATTTGCCAAGTTTAATGATTAAGCGGTGCTCATCAACAGTTTTAGTTACCTTTTTTTCAAACCGTTTATGATCTAGTGGAAGAAATGTCCTCCGCGCGTCAAGGCGGGATGAAAAGAAAACGGGTTCCAGTCAAAGAAAATCTACCTGTGAAAGAGAAGAAGCCAAGATGCGAGGAGGAAATCACCAGCCCAAATACTTCAGATGAGAGACTTCCATTATCTGAACTTTCTGGTATCCACATCAATGAAACTGTCGAAAGTCGAGTTTTTTCAGTTTTCACCAGATGTAAAAAGGCCTGCCCCATACCTTCAACACAGAACATTGATGGAAATCTTCTGTGGAAATTTTATATGAGAAAAGACTCAGAATGCTCAGAAGCAAGAAGTTCTTACTTATTCACCTCCAACCCAAGTATTCAACCTAGAATGAGAAGTGTATTGCTGGAGTGGCTGATAGAGGTATGTGATGTATATAAACTACATAGAGAAACCTATTTCTTAGCTGTGGACTACTTAGATAGGTATCTTTCAGTTTCTGAAAAAATATCTAAAAACCAACTTCAGTTAATTGGTGTGACTTGTCTGTTAATTGCATCTAAATTTGAAGAAATTTACCCTCCAAAGCTTAGTGAATTCGCTTATATAACTGATGGTAGCTGTTCTGAAGAAGACATCCTACATACAGAAATTTTAATTGTTAAAGCAATAGACTGGAAATGTACTACTATAACTCCTGACAGATGGCTCTCCATTTTTTTACAATTACTGTACATCAAAGAAGGAGATGTGACTGTATTGACCAAATTTTCTACAAAACTCTACGATACTATAGCAAGATTATTAGACTTATGCAGCCTGGATGAGGGATTTTTGAGGTTCTCTTATCGCATACTTGCAGCAACAGCATTTAATTTAGTGTGTTCAAAACCATCTGCTTTAGTTGGTTGGGGTATGAGGTCTTCAGATATTAAAGAATGTTCAGAATGGATGAGACCTTTTTGGCATGTTTTAAAAGAAAAGTGCAGTGTGGAACCTGTATCATTAAATATGAAATCATTGCCTCCAGGACCTAAGCCTGCTGATTATAAACATACTCTTATGAAAAGGAATGTATCACTCGATCTTCTATCATCTGCTCAAGAATTGGCAGAAGTAGAAACTACTCCAGGACTCTTAACTCCACCATCTAGTTCTAAAAGTACTGGAAAACCCGCAACTCCTAGTACTCGGGATTAATATATTCTTACGTTGTTATGTAAAGTCTTACGTTATTGTTTTTACCAAACTTTTTTATAGCTTTGCATGAAAAAGTTAACTACTTCTGTAGTCTTTGTTGAAATTCGTTTTCAATCTAATATTGACTGAATTAATTTGTAAATATGTTGAAAATTAGGATAAAATTGTTATGGAAAGAAGTATGAATTTTTTTTTTCAAGTGAAGATAATTCCACTTTTATGTTATTTTTTTTTTAAATCAACTGAAATGTAGTAATATTCATACCATATCTGATTTATTTCAATTAACTAAGATTTATCACTCCTACCTATACTATAGTTCATTTGTTTGTCAGTTGGTCAGCATTCTTGTAATTGTTAATATTTATATTAGTTATTTTATCAAATTGAATAAAACTTTAATAACTTTTAATATTCTTGGATACAATTATATATTTTATTAGTTACCTTAATGTTGACCTACATGTAAATCACAAAGTGGAATAATTCCTCATGTTTGTTCATTGTATACAATTTGACCCATTTAAAACAGCAACTTAAGAAAATATTTCAGAAACAATGTATTTTTGTACTATTTTTTTCTTTTTTGTTTGTTTTTTTAATTAGACTGTTGAAATTATTAATATATTTTGTTAGTTGATAAAAAAAAAATTAATATATTCAATGTATGATAGCATTTATGAATGCCAAGTGTGAAAGATTATTTTTGTTAATGTCTTGCTTTACTTACTTTGTTGTATAATATGGACTGAAAAAGTTGAAGTACAGATGTTGATTCTTCTTTAAATCTATTGAAGAATTCTTGAAATACGCTTATAGTTTTTGTATCTTCTAAGTAGTATTAACTGTATAATGTTATTCACTTCTTTTTGGCAGATAACATGAAATCATGGGGACATAATGTTTATCGCCAGGACATTTAATAAACAACATGGATCCCTATCCCAACTGCCTAAAAATTAGTCATTTACTTTTAGAATTTAAGAAATGTGCCTTGTCAAATTTAAATACATTTAAGACTAAATTGTTAGTATTGGTACTAAATTAATATGTTATTACGCATTTGTATAAATTATTTCAAGATGTGTACAATTTTGGTGGAATATATCTTTTTTTTTTGAGCAATTTTTGTGTTATTTACTTTCCTTTTTAATTGATCCAGAGAGTGGAATGATGGTGTATTAGCATTATTTCCATATTAAATATTGGATTTTTTATCAATAATATTTGGTTTATTAAATTTTGTGTACCTCAACTATTATGGGATATTCTGTAGATTGCATACCTGTTAAGAAGTGTGTGAAGGCTATTATTTACTGTTATACTTCCAGGAAATGAATGAAACTCAGAATTTTACAAGCACTGCTTCTAACTTGCTGGTGCCAAGACTGTCTCATTATACACCATAAAAAAAAAATCAATTATCTTATAAAAATCATATATCAATTATTACATATATAAAAATCAATTTGTTCATGGGGGGAGGCATGCGTGTTTTACAGCATTTTTACATTATTTATTGACCATGTCCACTGCACTTAATGTATTTGTATGCATGTTATGAATTAGGTTAGGGAAAGAGAGGAGAAAATCTAGGGAACGAGAAAAATGTATAGAGTGAGAGAAGGAACAGAAAGGGATGTATAATGCTAATACATGAATGAAAGAAATAGTAAAAATAAAATAAATAAATAAAAATATAGGAAAAAAAATTATGATAAAAAAAATATATAGATAAAAAAAAAATTGTATATTATGTTCATACATGTTGTTAATACTATATAATTGTATATTAGTTTTGGAAAATTGTCTGTAGCGATTAATAAGTATGCTGTGTATAAAGCAACCCAATGTAATTGGGCAGCACCCTTTTATGATAATAAAGTGATTCTTTCTCCTAATTATTTTAGAGGTGAAAGAATTAATAAAACCTCTCAAATCAAAAAATTTTTAGGACGTTAATTCATTGCCATACTGAGTAGCAAATAACAATATTTCTACAATTAATAATTACTTAATTTTAATGATTAATTATTTTGGTGAAATTCACAATTATTTTCTTTCTTTTGGGTATTACTTATTTTATGCTTAAATCTTGGCTACTTAAAGTGTAGAGGTTTGTAACCATTATCTCTTATTTGTTAACTTGAGTTGTAATTATTTATTGATCAGTAAAAAATTGCATCATTAGTAAATAAATCCACGATCCAGTATAGAAATTTAATAATTTTCTAAATTTGTATTAATTGTACTTGTTACTGTTTCTATTATATTGCTCCACGCAACAATTGAATATCATATGATACTTAATGGCCGGTTAGGGAAGGCAGTTACCACATTTACAAATGTTCATTAACTGGCCAAAATATACTTAACCTTTGAGTTATTAAAAATATACAATGTATGAAAAAAATAAAAAATTGAATTGGCTCTATTTAAACTTATTTTACAATTACTATTGTATTTTATTATTCACTGTTTGAGAAAGTTAAGGTTTAAGTTTTCAGAACATCCACTACATAGTACAAATCATTTTTAGTTTCAGAACTAAACCCTTGGCATTCCCATGTTCTCAGTTTCAACAAACTTTATTCTAAAATTGAAAAAAAAATCATAGCAAACATTGCACCAACTACCAATTCATTTATTTATTGAAAATATTTTATTTTTTATCTATTATTATAGACTTAATTCTTCATAGTTAATTGATGTGTTTTTATAATAGTAATTAATTATGCCTACTAATTAGTTGTATACACTTCAGGTATAAGACAAATCAATTTTAGCCTGTGGAATATTTTATTAAAAAAGAATCAAAATTCCAGCCATTATAATTAGGAAATAAAAAACACCTAATATTAGAACAATTGAACTAGTAGTTAGATAATAACAGAAATGAATCTATATGAAATTAAAATAATTTTTTTATTTAAAATGAAATAAAGTAACCATTGATATATAAGTATACAACTCTAGAACCAGCTAAGTCACTTTTTTAATATTTATTATTGATTTATATTAAAACGTGTTGTAATAGATTATCATGAGATGATGGGATATCTTAAAATTCATTTTTGATTTAGCTGCTTTTAGAATAAATTTTAATTAGTTAATTAATAGATAAAGCATACTTATAAAGGAACACGAACCTATTAATCATTATACGAAAAAGGATGTAGGACTAGTGAAGAGATAAATTTTTTTAAACTTATATTCATGGTTACATCTTCATTTCTCCCCAAATACAGACATGCTCTGAAGTTCATGCACTTATATTTTCTTATTTTTTATTTTTTTATTTTACTGTCGCAAAATGTTCAAATGCTCTTATTTTCAATATCTTGTTGCTCACTTACTGTACATTCAGGAAAAGCATCAGATGAAATCAGAAATCTCCACTTTTTTTTTACATTCAATGTTTATCTTTACTCCCTATGCCTTATCCTATTATTCATTAAATCTTTTGATAACTATCTCAGAAAAATTCCCATTGGTATTTGATATAAAATTGATTTATTGAGAAGTGGTGTGAAATAAGCATTTATGCAGGCCAGATTGGCTAGTCGGCGATCGGCCAAAGGCTCTCAATCCAGGGGGACCCCTGGAGGAGGCTTTAAAATTAATTTTTTTCTGCAGGTGTTTGAGGCCCTTCTGGTGCGCCCCAAAATAAGTGTTATGTAATTTTTTTTTATGTAGAATAAATGGGGTGGGGATACCTCTTCCGAAGGCCCTTAAGATCGCTTTTTTTTTTTTTTTTTTTATTGTAGTATGTTTAGGTGTGCTCCAATAAAGCATAAGATTCCATTATCTCCTCTGACATGAAAATGCGGCTATTTACAGCCGCACCACTGTATACAATGTCACAATGCTTTACTGGCGAGAAGTCAAATAGCAGGGGGATTGCTTACATTATGCGGTATCCGTAACCCAAGAATCTTCTCTTGATACTGTAGAACATCCAAGATTCAAATATAATCTTGTTCTCATATTGTAATGATTCTCGCTCTATCTGTGCGTTATTTCATCCCATTTGATGGAATTAAAGATACTAGATACCGATGCCATAATGAAGATCATAGATCTAGAATAAAAATGAACAAAATATACCCAGCTGAGCTATGAGTTCATGTGTTCATACATTGCCCTGCTTCAACTGATTGCCTTGCAACTGGTTGGTAATAACCTGTAGGCAGACACACCTCATATTTTATTTTAATGGCGGCTTAAGAAGCTGTAAAAATTACAGTCCTGTGAGTAGGTATATAATCATAATCAATAGATAAAATTAATTTTTTTTATATCAATTAAATAATACAGAGACTTATTTTAATTATATTTCATAATGTTGCATTGGCAGAAAGGATTAAAAAGCTATCACTTTAATATCTAAGATGTCTACAAATCTTGTTGAGGCTCTGTACCCAGGCAATAAACTTTGAGGAAACATCTATAATTTTTCGTCTCCAGGAATTTGGATATTCGATACTTAAAATGTTTGTGCGGACGGGTGACAAGCAGCATGTTATTTTAAGGTACTTACTAATCTTTTTTTTTTTTAAATATACCAGTAGTCTTATAAAGGAATATAAATTCAATTTTATATTTTACATTAACAGAGTGTTCTTGCTTATCATTTTTTTTTTCTTTTTTTAATTTCTCATGCAGGAGTCAACTCATTAAAACTTTGCGACAAAGCATAATTGACTTTAAAAAGAAGTGGAATGACACCTTGACAAATCACTTGTAAACCACTCTAAGTGTGTGGTTAAAAACTTTAAATTCGCATTTAAAAAAATAATAAAAGAACTTAAAAAGCTCTCTAGAAGTGATTCCAGCTCTTTTTAAGTCTATTATGGTTTGTTGCACAGATTCACTTAGTTAAGTTCTGCATGAGATATTTTTAAAAAGTAATAAATAAGAACTCTATATGAATGTAGAGCATTAAATTGAACTTTTATTCCCTCATTAGTATACTGGTGTATTTAGAATAAACATTGATTAGTGTGTAGGTTAAATTTATATTTATTCATAGTATATAAGATATCCTTAACATCATTTGTTGTGAGATTATCAAGTTAAGCGATGGCCTTTAAATTCTCTCTGCCAATGCAGTATTATAAAATCTAGTTTTTTAAATAAATAATCATTTGTGTCACTTCTGTCCTTTCCTTCTTCCCAACTGACAGTCAATAACGCCTACCATACGTTATGTTTCTATGGTTTCCTTTTCCTCGTCCATTCTGATTAATATTGCTGCTTATTCTTTTGTTTCAAATGTTACCCAGATTACTTATTATTTTTTTCATTTTCCAAACATCTATCTTTTAATGTATTTTTGTTGCTTTGGTTATTATTTTAATTATTATATTTTTACCTATTATATTTTGTAATAATAAATATTAATCTACATTTAGTATACAATGTTCATCTATCTATGTACTGTACTATGTAATTAATGTATGTTTGTAATGTACATCTAATTTTATTCTAAAATTAGAAATTTAGATATTAGAAATTTTTTCATTCCATTTTTCAGAAATTCATATCATTACTAAGTCACAGAGCTTTCTGGTTGAGCATTAAAACGTTTTATTTTATAGGTGTGTGATGTTGTTCAAGGAACACTTTCAAAAGTTCAAAAAATCTTCAGGGGTAAAGCTGCCTCATTTGCAAAATCAAAAATGGAGGAAGCTGATCATTGGCTGAAAAAAGAGAAATATGACCGTGCTTTAGTTTCAGCCAATCTTGCAGTGGTCAGAGCTCCTACATCTTCTAAAGGTATTTTTCTCTAGATTTTAAATTTTTTTAAAGCAAAGCTGTTTTCAAAAGAGAAGGAGATTACTGATACTCTTAGTGTCATTGTATTTCTGTGTTTGGTTCACTCAATATTTTGATTTATATTTAAAAAATATTCAAAAAAATAATAAGAAGATTGTATCCAGTTTGCTGACCAAATTTCTTGCTTATTATGTATAATTATAATAATAAATTATTATTATTCTCAATATTATAATATTAAATGTCTTAATATTTCTGATAATGAAATTTTCAAGAAAAAGCAATGGTTTTGTCGCACCTGTGAGCCACAAATCAAACAAACAACGTAACAGATTACTGGTATTCCAAATACTACCATGGAGAAGAACTTCTCAGTAGTTCTAGCCGAGCTAGGAAAAATTACTGTTAATATCAAGTTATTAAAATCACCGTCGACAAACAAGCAACAATGACATTTGAAAACTCGGAACGGCTCAAGGCGACAGAAGAACATTCTAAAAGACAGGAGGGGCTTATAGAAAAACGTTTAATAGAAAATAATAACTTAAAACTTGAAATTAAAAATATGGAGATCAAGTTAAACTTAATTAATTAAAGTTAATATGAATTTGAGCGAATGGGAAAATTCATATTAACTTTTAAATTAGAGGGATCCTCACGATGACTTAGGAAACGTCCGAGGGGATAGTTTTGTCTGTCGGGGCAGCCCTGGATATGAAGCTTAATACTGAGGACCTAGATTTGGTGGGAAGAAAGCTTCCTAGAGGAGAGAGGACACCTGGCCACCGTTGATCATCGTGAGTTTTGTCCACCAGACGATCCAGGACGAGGTGCTTTTACTCAGAAGAAGAAAAAGACCTCGTAGAATCGTCATCTTTACTGGCTGGCGAGACAGAGAAAGCGGCAGGAAAAGTCCGATATGTATGGTTCTCTAGAAGGCGTGTCAGGTGCAGAAAAGACGACGACTTGCAGATAGCTGTCATTAACAAAGCAGAAGACTTGGATGTGTTTCAATGATGCAAACACAATTGTTAGCTCTCCATTACATATTCCGTTAATAATTACCAAATTTTCTATAATTCTTATTTTAATTTACTTATCTCAATATTTAATTTTTCCCTCAAGAAATATTATATTACGTTTTTTTTCTGAACTGAATACTCGGAGTTTTGTTTCTTTACATTATTTTCCTGCTTATCTTTGTACATATGTTTACATTCTCTATTATTATTTACCTTTTCATATAGTTTGAAAAATCTCTTAATTTTCGCAGTTGTAAATTTCATTTATTTTGTTAAAACATATAATTGTCCGTCTCATTTTTTGCTGCTCTACAATTTTTCATTTATCTTAGGAAATTTAAATTCATATAATTACAATTGTCCCGTTCCTTTCCATACTTTCAATGATGTACTTCCATTCTTTATCCTTCCATGACTAGTATCCTATTAGCATGTCATGTTAACTCCCAATATCTTCCGACCCACTTTGATGAATTCATTGATTATTTCCTCTGTAATTTTTACCATATTATTAACGTCTCAGAAACCTGGGCTTAAACTAAACATTCCTTCCTCCTCTGTATCCATCCCTAACTATGCCCTCATTCGTCATGATCAAACGGACCAAACAGGTGGTGGTGTTGATTGATCTTTACATTCATGGAAATCTGAGGACAGAAATCTTCCCTTCCACAAGTCTCCCTCTCCTCCTCTCCTGACTTTCCTCATGTTGAGTATTTGTTTGTAGAAATTTCCTCAGAATCTTTTTCCCTCCTTTTATATCATTACATATCGCCTTCCTCAAGTCTGATTTGGTACTGCCTTAGAATGCTCTCTATTTACTTATGTTCCCTTATACAATAATGTTATAATAACCGGCAACTTTAACACCAATTTATGCTCCGACTCATCTGAAAAATAATACCTTGTAGACCTAATCTGCTCCCTTGACCTTTTCATCGTTCCCTTTCAATCCACTCACCATACCCAATTTTCGAGTTCATGGCTCGACCTTTTTCTATTCCTCTCATAACTTACTATCCTCATCCCAGAATCCTGTCTCTTTTGTTTCACATCATGATCTCATCAAACTGTTGTATAACGTCCCAACTCCTAAGTTCAATCCTAAGCAAATCACTTGGCGAGACCTTGGCTCATTGACCCCTGAAAAACTTAATCCTTTCCTTGAAACATTAGTCCAATCCTTAGATTCCATCTTCTCCTATTCCTAAATCAACATGCACTTCTAAAGACCTCTATCTTCAGACTTTCCTTAATTAATCTAGAAATTAGAAGGCTGATGCAGAGAAGAGATGCAGCAAGAAGGCGATTCAAACAGACACGTATTCAAACACATTCCGTTTCTCCTGATCAACTGAATTACCACTTTGCCGATCCTATCTCGATATCGTTCTCCTCCTCACGCTGCTTTCCTAAAACTTCCTTTGACCCTACAAATTTTTATTTTACAAATATCTCACTGGAAGACCTGCTTTCCTTTGTCCTCAAATCCAGAACAAATGACTATGGAACAAATGACTCATCTTTCCTGTCCTATTGCATATTTACAATTTTTCCCTTCAAAATTCCAGTTTTCCATCTGCTTAGAAAAAAGTTATAGTCCGCCCATTGAGCAAAGTTCCGGTTCCCTCCAAAGTTTCCGATTTCAGATCCAACTCCATCCTCTCCAACCTTTCTAAATCCCTTGAAAGACTAGTCCATTCACAGCTTAATACCTTTCTTGAGCAAAATGCTTTCCTCAATCCTCTTCAGTCTGGTTTCCGATCCCGATTCTCCACCTAATCAGCTTTGTTGAAAATCATCTGAGACCTTCATTTCTCCATAGACAAACAAAAAATATTTATCCTGATTCTCTTTTACTTTTCAAAAGCATTCAATTCCGTTAATCATTAAATCCTTCTTTCCAAAGTCCAAAATCTTTCCATATCAAACAGCTTCCTAAAGTGGTTTCGTTCCTTCTTATATCACAGATTCCAAACAGTCATTATTCTCAATAAAACTCCTTCCTCCCGATTCGATCCTCCATTCACAATACTACTTGTATATTGCAATCTCAAAATCTACCTTTTCTTTTATTCTACTGAGATGCTTGAGGGGATTCGAAAACTACAAGAAGATATAAACAGTATTACTACTTGAGCAGCAAGTAATGGTTTAAAGTTGAACGTCGAGAAGACCAAAGCCATTCTCATTGGTTCCAAGCATCCTATTAATTCCATCCCATATTATCTCCTTCTCTACCTTAATGGACTACTTATTCGTTTCCATATTTCTGTTAGTAATTTAGGGGTGATTTTCGATCAATACCTCTCCTGGAATAATCATGTTTCCCAAATTATTCGAAAATCCATTGCTACCCTAAAACAAACAGCTCCTGAGATTTCGTGATTCTATGCTCCTAAAAACCTGCCAACTCCTAGTTTCCTCACTTCGATTATGGCTGCCTTGTATACGGGGACTGTCTAGTGGGCTTGAGATCAGATTGAGGAGATTAATGAATTGTTTCATACGATTCATGTTTGGAGCCCCCAGGCGCTCCCACGTCTCTGGTTGGTATGTCGAGTTGAAGTGGCTCTACCCAGCTCTCCGGTGGCAATATTTCCAAGGTGTATTCCTTTTCCGAACCTTTACAACCGAAAAGCCATTTTACTTCCTTAATTTGCTTACTCCTTGTTCCTCTGTTCACTCGTTTAACATGAGATCTCAGTCAATAAATCTATTTGTTCCCTCTCATAGAACCGTTTCCTTTAAAAAATACTTTTTAATGCGTGCTACATTTTTCTGGAATTAATTACCCTCCTCCATATTTAAATCCTCTTCCTTAACCACATTTAAACAACAATTATTTTTCTACCTCTTAATTTGGATAATCTTCCAAACACATGTAAGAACAAAATTTCCTAATTAAGAACTGACACCTTCATTTACTGTTATATTAGTGCTATTTATATATTAACAGTATAGTTAATCAGAACAAACATATGAACACACTCATATATATTTATGTGCAAATTATTATGTTTAATAATAATAAAATAATAATAATAAAAGGCTTAGCGAACCCGAAGGTTCGATGGCGACACCACCAATTGCTTATTACACACCTCCCTCCACCATTCGCCGTCCAAACCCAGTCCCTTCAGATCGGCTTTAATGCAATCTTCCCATCTTCGCTTCGGTCTACCCCTCGGACGCTTACCATTCGGCACAGCAAATATTAATCTTTTAGGAATTCTCTCGTTACTAAGCCCAACAACTTTACAAGCCCATTTGATTCGCCGCGACGAAATTACCTCTATTATATTACCCGGATACAGTTCACGCAATTCGGCGTTGTGTAACCGTCTGAACTCTCCAGTTAAAAAAATTATTATGTTTACTTGGAAATTATTATGTTTACTTGTAATTAATTTATTTTAATTTTAAGGTTGAATTATTGTGTTATGTTAAATAATTATTTTTTATTTTCTTATAGTGCCAGACCATAGTCATTTTTTTGTTCACTTTAGTTATTTTTAGGGGACTAAATGTCCCAGAATATTACTTTCTTTTTCTTATTGTTTTGTTATCAAGTTTGATTTATATATTCTATACATAAAAATATATTGTTTTATTTTATTAGTTAAAGTGAGTGAAAAAAATAATTTTACGGAATTACAAGTAATTATTATTATTAATATTAAAATAAAATAATTAATGGTTAATTTTTTATTTTAAAAAAATAATTGTAATGTAATATGACTGGAATAAATAACTGCAATTATTTGGTTAAATGGTACACATTTTACTCTTTTCCGTTTTTGTTTTTTCCTACTTGGCCTAAGGAATTACCTGACCATGGGAGTTTTTAATTTTTTTTTATTTAGAAGTTCTCCTGAACTTAGTTTTTTTTTTTTTATTAATAAGAGTTTAATAAATATAACAATATAATATAAATATAAAGGAATGCACCAATCAATTTCTAATGTCAAAAAATTCTCATTCTAAAAGACTAATTGTAATACTTCCAGAGGATATTGAGATTCGATTTGCAACAGAAATCGTTTGTTTTAGGATACATGTTAATAATTTAAATAGCTTACCTACTTGAAGAGTGAGATCAAAGTGATTATGTTAGGGAAAAGTAAGAAGCAGTTCTTATGACTGTATTTGTTCCCAAATTTTATTTTTTAATTGCAAATATAATTACATTTCTACAATTTAAAATAATGTTTTATTTATTGAAGTAAACCTGTTTCTTAATATCTTAAAAATGTATTAACATATCTATGTTGGAACATCAGTGATAAGACAAACTAATAGCCAAGAATTCAATTAGCAAATTATCACTAATGTTTCAGCATTGATATGTTTAGCAAATAAAATCAGCAATAAAATATGTAAGAAAAGTTCTAATGAGGACAAATATTTGATATATTAACTTTATATATATATATATATAAAAAAAATGAAAATATAGGAATAAAGAAGTTTTTAGTTGTTCTATTATTCAATAATTTATCAACTTTCAAGAAAATTAGTGGAATTAAAAATTGTTTAAAGTTATTAATATTTATCCTCAACAAGCATCAAAACAATTATAATATATATTTCAAATTAATAACTAGAGAATAAGACAATTTATACAATTGTGTTTATTTTATTGTAGGGAAAAAATTATCTCTCGAAGAAGGATCAATTCTTCCTATGTCTCTACTGATTCGGAGTGAAATTTTGTTTAAGATGTCAGAATTTCAACTATGCTTGAATGATTTACAATCAGGACTTAAATACTGTCTGTCTGATATCCAAAAGTAAGTGGAAATCATTAGATTGTAAGATGCCCATTATAACTCATTATTATATTTAAATATTGTTTAAAGTATCGTTTTTGGGGGGGGGGTTTAAGTCAACCGTGATGTTTGTTATATCTCTTCAAATCATCTATTATGATTCTGGATCTGTACTAAAATCTTAATATAGTTGCAGTTTTTTAGAAAGAAAGCAGTTACGAACTTAATAAGTTTACACATTTTACTGAAGTTCTTCACTACTTTCCAATCGTAATATACAGTTTTATGTTCGTTAACCTGACTTGTGGTTTTATAGTTAATGAATTTTAGAAAAAAGAAAAGATTGCCTACACAAATGTTATTCAATTATTCAAAAACATGAAAACTTAAAGAAATTGGGCTATACACTATTTAACAACTTAAGAATATAGTATTTTTAAAAATAAGAGGCATGAAGGTGTAATGTATGTACATATTTTTGCAAAAACTTACAGCTCATTTTTTTTTTTTTTTATTGTCTAGATGGTATGAGGTCTATTAATTTCTTATACTATTTCTATTGGACTGTATACTACAAATTAATTGTTAGAATATCTAGAATTTATATTTCTAAAACATCAATATTAATAATTTTTTTTATTTATTTATTTTTTTTTATACAATATTAATAAAATATTTAGAAGCCTGTTGCTATTTTTTAATTTTGTGACAAAAATAAACCTCCGATGGTGTGTGTATTCACTGCATGTTGATCCCCCAAAACATATCCCTCGGCATCATGTTAAAGTAAGGAATTTTAACCTACCCAACGTCCTACATTCATTACTTTAACATGGTTCTGATGATATAACTATAGTAACTTCAATGTATCAAATAAGAATCTATTTAATAAACAAAACAAACAAATTCCATTTTAGTTCCAATCTGATCATTCTGATTCAATGAATTAAAATATCAGTATTAATACATAATGACCCAGTTCATGCAATTGTTGGCTAGTTTATTTATATACTAGATTAGTTTGCGAAATTTCTATACCACATTTTTAATTTTTTTTTTTTTTTTCTAGAGCAACAGTATATCTAAGGATGGGATTGTGCTACTTAAAACTTGGAGATAAAAATAAATCTAAAATTTCTTTCACTGTTGCCATTTCTTGTGGAAATAAAGAAATAAAAGAAGAAGGTCAGAAATATCTTGATAATATTGAAAAAACTTTAAATACTTCTGTTAAGCAACTTGGTAAGAAACATTAAAAACTATTATTTATTTTTCCTTCTTTATTTAAGTAAATTAGTTTTGGTAATAAATCAGTCAACTTTAGTCATTTTTCATTTTTTATTTCAACACTGAGAATGTTTAGATATAATAAAAAATTAAGGAGATAAAAATTATCCATTCCTTGGATCTCCTCTATTACATATATCATTGACACATTTTATTAAAACTGAGTATATCGGCTCCCCTTGTGTGCTCGGGGGTAGGGTAGAGTAGATCCACAGTATTTACTGCTTGTACTGAAAGGTGATTAAAGGAACAACTCTCAGTCGACCTCGTGCCTTCATCCTACACATTCCTTCCAGTCATCCTCCTTATCCTTTTTCTATACTCCTAAAGTTCCTAATCCCCCATCGTTTTATGGGTTAGAACGAAAGTTCAGAGACTAAGGGAGTAAACCCTGACAAAACATCCTGGTCCTCAAGATTTGGGGGTTGGTTGCTGGGTTGACAACCCGATCTCATAAAAAGCATATCGTTATGAATACACAAAGAAGAAATAGCCAGACTGATTTAAGGTTAAGACCTAAGCTTGGAAATGGACTTATATATATTGGAACACGAAACATTAGAAGTATGCTTATATCATTGACACATTTTATGAAAACTGAGTATATCGGCTCCCCTTGTGTGCTCGGGGGTAGGGTAGAGTAGATCCACAGTATTTACTGCTTGTACTGAAAGGTGATTAAAGGAACAACTCTCAGTCGACCTCGTGCCTTCATCCTACACATTCCTTCCAGTCATCCTCCTTATCCTTTTTCTATACTCCTAAAGTTCCTAATCCCCCATCGTTTTATGGGTTAGAACGAAAGTTCAGAGACTAAGGGAGTAAACCCTGACAAAACATCCTGGTCCTCAAGATTTGGGGGTTGGTTGCTGGGTTGACAACCCGATCTCATAAAAAGCATATCGTTATGAATACACAAAGAAGAAATAGCCGGACTGATTTAAGGTTAAGACCTAAGCTTGGAAATGGACTTATATATATTGGAACACGAAACATTAGAAGTATGCTTCAGTCAGGAGTGAATAGGATGTTAGAAGAGAAGCTCTTGAAAAATAAAATGGATATAGTAGAACTACAGAAAATAAAATGGAAGGATCTGGATATAGTGACTCTGAATAATTATACTTTTTTTAATTATGGCAGTGAGTGTAATCTGTTGATAACAGGCCTGATAGACTTTTCTAGAAGAATTAGGTTGAGTGACACCTTTTTCACTCACAAGAATATCCATATGAAGACATAGGTATTGCCAGATGGAGAGATCCAGAATCAGATTGACTATGTGTTGGCGGATAGTAGAGACGCGATAGACATACAAAATGTCCACAGTTTTAGAGGTACTTGCTGTGAGTTATATCAGTTTTTATTTAAGGCTAGATATAAAATAAAAGTAGCCTCTAACCAAAGAGCCTGAGGAGTTCGAAAATTGATCTTCAATCGAGAAAAGCTACAAGTTGAAGATACCCAAGATTTGTTTAAAACAAAAATTAAGGACAGGTTTCAGAACTTAAAAAGAACAGAGTCAATTGAAGAGATCCAAACGTACAGACTGGGTGTCCTATAGTTCTAACTTGAAGGCGGCTGTTAAATGCTGCCCCAAAGTTATCCACAATACATGGCAACTAGAATGTTTAAATACTTCAATTACTGATGCTATGACTAGAGCATATCTGGCCACTAATGAAGCCAAAAAAACTACAACCAACAGGAAAGTGTCCTGGTGGAACGATAGTCTAACAAAGCAAAGAACACTCATTTCCCAAGTTGTTTTACGACAGTAAAGGAACCTCTTGACCCCAATACACAGGATCGTGGTACTGGTGCATGTAGGTGGGGTCTGGTAAGAAGAGTGATTACAAACAGCAGACTTGAATGGGCAGTGAATGCATTCTCTCCTTTCAAATCTGCTGGAACTGACGAGATCTTTCCAGCATTGCTGCAGAAGGGACTCTCAGAGTTAAGGCCATACCTTCTGGAACTCCTAAGAGGTAGCCTAGCACTGGGATATCTACGATGTAAATGGAGGATATCCAAGGTGCGATACATTCCTAAACCAGGAAAGGAATCTTACGAAGACACCAAGGCATTTAGGCCAGTATGTCTCTCATAATGTCATCTTTCATAATGAAGATATTGGAAAAGATACTGGACAGACATATTTGGGAACATATATTGGCTACTAGTCCAATACATTCAAAGCAATATGCCTACCAACCAGGAAAATCCTGTGAGGTGGCGCTTCATAACTTGGTAACAAGAATAGAGAAATCCTTAGAACAGAGTGAAATCATGATAGGTGTCTTAGTTGATATCGAGGGTGCCTTTGATAGAACCTCCTTACAACATCATAAATGATGCACTAAGGAAAAAAGACATAGATGCTATGTCCTCCAGATGGATTGAGAGAATGCTGGAGGACAGAGTTCTAAAATCAGAAATAGGGCACAGGGAACTGTGGATTAAACCCTGTGGTGGCTGTCCACAGGGAGGTGTGCTCTCTCCGCTACTGTGGTGCTTTGTGGCTGACTCATTGCTGGAAGCCCTAAACACTGCAGGCATTTATGCACAAGGATATGCTGACGATATTGCCATCTTAATAGGAGGAAAGCATCAGAGTGTCCTCTCTCATATCCTCAGTACAGTGTCTAATATTCTTAGGAATTGGTGCAGGATTAATGGATTAAGCAACAACCCTAGAAAAATCAATGTGTGTATCTTCACTAAGAAGAAGAAGGTATTTATCAAAATGCCGGAAATCAATGGTATCCAATTGACACTGAGCAAGGAAGTTAAACACCTTGGATTCATTTTGGACCATAAACTATCATGGACTAAACACGTTCAAAACGTGACAAGTAAAGCCCTCAAATGCCTATGAGCCTGCAAAACAGCGATAGGAAAGAATTGGGGATTCAAACCAAAAATGGTATACTGGCTGTACACAACGACAGTCAGACCTATCATACTTTACTCAGCTTTGCTATGGTGGCACAAAGCAAAGACTGTAGCCAACTCATCCTCATTAGGAAAGATTCAAAGGCTTGCATGTATAATGATAACAGGTGCGATGAGCACGACACCGACGGCTGCCATGGAGGTAATGTTGAACATGCCTCCTCTGCAGCTGGAGGTGGAGGCTCGGGCAACAAACAAATTATACAGGTTAAGCAAGTCAACATACTGCTCACCAGTCCCCTGCCAAGGACACACAATACTGCTGAATAGGATTGGACGTGAAGGAGTACTACCTATGCATTCTGACACTCTAATCCGAGAATATCAGGACCGAAAATATAAGGTTGGAATAGACAGCAGCAGACAACATAAACCAAATAGTGGTATAAATTGCTTCACAGATGGCTCTCTTAACAGCCTTAGGCTCTGGAGCAGGCATTTATCTATCGCAAAGATATCAAAGAAAAAATTTGTATACCACTTGGCAGACATGCTTCAGTATTTCAATCTGAGATATAGGCAATCTGCCATTGCGCACAAAACCTACTGCGAAGCAATGTGACTGGGAAAAAGATTACCATCTATACCGACAGTTAATAGCAATAGGTGCTATTAACAACTATTACGTTTATTCAAAGGTCGTTAAGGAATGCAACACAGCACTTAACGAACTAACTGAGCACAATAGAGTTGCAGTGGAGTGGGTGCCTTGTCACTCGGGCATACCAGGTAGCGAGGTGGCTGATGAGCTAACGATTGGGCTCAGATACCATTCCTGTAACTCCCGAGCCTGTCTGTGGAATCAGCCTCAGCATTGCCAAGGGCAGGATCAGGGAGATTTATGGGAACAAATCTAGTAATTACTGGACCGACAAGAAACAGCAACATTCCAAGCTGTTCCTTAAAGGTCCATGTGAAAAAAGAAGCAAACTGTTACTGAGTATGGACAGAGCAGCCCTTAAAAAAGCTTACCGCAATCTATACAGGTCACTGTAAGCTAAACTATCATATATTCAATCATTTCAATTGAGGAGGTTCAAAGTTATAAAGACAAGATATGCAGCATTTTATACCAAAGCCTTCATTTTATAAGATTAGCATTGGGAAGTTATTGGGAAATAGCATAAAAGTCTTAAAAAGGTGGGTGTGGGTAAGATATTTCCTGGACTTATTGAATTTAAATAGGATAGAAATTGGCAGTGCTACAGGAAGAATGGAATGAGGAGCAAGTGGATGATGGTGAAGAAGAAGTACCTCCAAATCAGGAGGAAATTATTTCTTCACAGAAGAATCAGAAGGCCCCAGGTACTTATGAGATAATAGCTGAATTCCTGAAATATGGAGGACAGGTAGTGATAAGCCAGATATACCAATTTATATAGGATATATGGACTCGGAAAAGAATGCTGAAAGACTGTAGCAAAGCCATCCTTTGCCCAGTTTATAAGAAAGTCGACAGAATGGCATGTGAGAACTATCGTGGGATCATAGTGCTGCTGTTGTCTGTGTACAAGGTGGTACTCTTCATAGAGTAACCGGAGGTTAGTAAGATGGTTATTTGTGATTACCAGTGTGGTTTTAGACAAGAAAGATCCACAACTGATTTAATCTTCACATTAAGACAGTTATTGGAAAATAGTCATGAGCATAATATTAGTCTGCATCACTTTTTTATAGATTTGATAGGATTCTGTAGGCACGGAAAGATTGGTAAGAAATATCACTTCTCCAGGAGTTCCCCTCCATTTTCCTGTGATGTTGCTCTTATTACCTTCTCCTGGGCTAAGTTGAACAACATCGGTGATAGTCCATCCACGTTCGAACTTTGAAGGCTTGAGATACTTCTCCTTGTATTAGGATTTTACATTTGGGGTCATTTGTACACGCCTTCGTCAATCTCACCAACTTACGGGGAATTCCCAGTTCAGTCATGATTTTCCAAAGACAGTCTTGCCCATATGGTTTTGTTGGAGGACACAGAATCATAGGCTACTTTAAAATCGAGAAATAGAGCTTGGACGTCCTGAGCTACTTCCCGTCGTTTTTCAAGTACTTGTATGCTCTTGTAATACGGATACATCCTGTTTAGAGTAGGGTATTGGTCATTATCTTGTAGCCAATCAGAAGGAGTGCTATGCCTCTGTAATTACTACTCACTCATATAGGGAGCATTCCTTTAGGATAGGATAGATTAAGCCCGTATTCCAAGCCTCAGTTATTCTTTCCTCTTCCCATATTTTCTAGGTTATTAAGTCTTCCTGGTGCTTCTATATGGATCCATCCTAAGAAGATGTCCAAACCACCTTAGTTTGTGCTCCGACAGAATGGTCTCCGCCAGTTTGACATTGATGTTAGCCCATATGGTGGCATTCCTATTTCTCTGTTTCTTTCTTTCTATTTTACACAGATACCTCATTTCCATGGCTTGTATTTTATTTTTGTGTTTTGTGGTGAAGTTCCGTGATTCTGAAGAGTACGACAGGATAGGTAGAAATGTCGATTTTTAGAAGGCTGGTTTGGTCCGCTTTGACACCTCTCTTCTTCCCTCCAGGAAACGCTGTCCTACCATACTGAACATACTTGCTGCCGCTCGAATTCTTGGGGTCATTTCTTCGTCTATGTAGTCACTGTCATTGAGATGAGCTCTCAGATATTTAAAAGATCTCGATCTGCTCTAATCTCTGTCCTCCAATCCTTAGTATCCTTCAGGGTTTCTTTCCAATTCTTATGCATTTAGTCTTCATATTTACTGTGAAGAATTCTACTTGGAGAACATTTAAGTTATGTTAGAGGTCCCGATTATTGGCAGCTAGTAAGACAAGGTCGTCAGCGAAGGCCAATGGGGAATACCTGGTTGAGTGCAGATTTCTGTGCCCTAGCTGGAATTTCCTCATTATATGATTGGTCCTCCTTAGTGCCAAGTTTAGAACCATGATGGAGAGCAACAAACTTGGGCTACAGCCCTGTTGGCTACCCAATGTAGGCAAATTCTTTTGAAATGTGGTTTCTGGTTCTCATCACATTCTTCATCTTTTTATAGAGACTCATTGCCGCCAAGGTTGTTCCACGGTCTACACCCCGCTCAGACAGTGCCTTCTCCATGTCTTCTTTCCTCACTCTGTCAAAAGCCTTCTGGAGGTCCACGAAGCAGATGGAGAGATCTTTATCCTTCTCAACAGTCTTTTCTGTTATTTTTCTCACCGTGAAGATGAGATCCTGGGTGTTACTCTGATTCCTGAAGTTATATACTGTTCTTCTCATAGTTGACAAAGACAATTTTCCTCAATCTTGTTTCTAGAATCCTAGACAAAACAAAATATATTATAATAAGCCCAAAAATTCCACCCCAATAACAGAATCTGCATAGAAGGAAAATCATTCCCGAGAGTAGAAAATTTCAAATACCTCGGCTCCATAATAACCTCAATGAATGACCAACTGGCTGAAATAGACCAGTGTATAACTAGCGCAAACAGAGCTTTTTTCTCCCTCTCAAAGGTATTTTAATCCCGAAAAACATCAAGAAATCTCAAACTAAGGATGTACAACGCTATGATAAAGCCAGTTATAATATATGGCTGTGAGACCTGGACACTAACTAGCACCCTAGAAAAAATTGTTGAAAGATTTAAGAGGAAAATCCTCTGCACGATAACCGGAGCGATCTGGGATCAGATTAGTTAGACATGAAGAAAGAAAGACCAATAAAGAACTGCTTAAAGAAACTGGTCAATCAATACCCCATGCTATGAAGGCATGGAGGTTAAGATGGGCAGGGCATGTATGTAGCTCATAGCAATCCATCTGGAAGCCTCTACATAACAATGAATGTCTCAATAGAAGGCAAAAGGCTACATGGAAGGGCGAAAAGCAGATGGATAGATAGAAACAGCAAAGATGCAACAGAGCTGTGAGCAGATAAATGGATAGAAATAACCCAAGACATGCAGAGATGGAGCAGGCTTGTTAAGGCGGCAAAAGATCTACATAGTCTGTAATGCCAATAGGAAAAAAAAAAAAAACTTCACTGGAAGCACCCTCTGATTTTTGTGGTTTATCATATATTATAAATGAAGAAATATGATATTTATATAACGAAGTAATGCCAGGTATGTGTCCAATATTTTTCCATGTAGTATCACAAAAAAGAAATTGGTGACACCTGCTGGTAACAATTTTTGATCTACAATAGATTTTGAGTCATTTTTATGTACTTACTCGAATTTTGGCATTGATAAATAATGTCAAAATTCTCAAAAACGTACTTATAACTCTGGCTCCTTAAAAAATCTGTTTAGTGAATTTTTGCAATGAAGATTTAATTAAATTTTAAAAATATATCAGACATTTGATAGAGTCTGGCACCCAGGATTGCTGTACAAAATTTGTAAATTCCTACCCCCTACATATTTTCTCATTATCTATTTCTATCTTACTGATAGATACTTTAAAGTAGATCACAATAATGTTTGTTCCTCCCTCTTTGTTCAGCCTGCGTGCGTTCCTTAAGGTAGTATCCTCGGTTCCATCCTCTACACAGTTTATACAGCTGACATCACGGCCTATCCTAACACTGTCATCACCACATAGGCCGATAACACATGTTTGCTATTAATTGGTAATGACCCTCCAATCACATATCATAAACTTTGAAGAATGATGTCAAAACTGGAGAATAAAAATAAATTCCTATAAATCCTCCTAAATAACCTTTATTTGTTGTAAACCTATGATGTTTTATCCTCCTGTATCCTTCAATAGTGTTCCACTTATTTCTGTTGTACAAATTATCACCTAAGACTCCACTTGGACAAACATCTTACTTGGAATCTGGATACAACACAAACAACAAGAAACTGCTTGAGATTTCCGGCTGTTCCAACACTTACCAGACAAATGCTCTACACCAACAAGTTCCTATTGTATCAATCCAAAATCCTTACTGTGCCATATATCACTGATTTGTTCTGTTCCAATCTATCCTCCATGATAATGATATCTATCCTTTCATGATAATTTCCAGTCCCATCTGAATCCAATTGTTTCCAGTTCGATTCCTGATGATCCTCCTAGGCCAATGAAATAAAGATGACCTCGTGATATTCTTACTTAGAAATATATAGGCAGTGGTACCATTGGGTTTTGTTTTAACAAGTCTGTTCATATCACATTTACTGGTTATATTTATTTAATATAGTTGTAAATTTAATAAACAAATATATATTGTTTAAATCATTTTTGCTACATTTTTAAAAATAAAACAATTATTTATGATTATAGTAATTATTAAGGTTAAGAGATCTTTAAGATCTTGTTTTGTTAGAATTAAATTATTCTTTTATTTCAGATCCTGAAACAGTTGTGATAGATTATCACGATGACCTTCCTGGAATAAGTAAATCAGTAACAATGGCTAGTGAAAAAGGATCTGGTCGCTATTTTAAAGCAGCAAAACCAATTGCAATTGGTGATATTGTCTCTTGTGAAGAACCTGTTGTCTCAGCTTTATTTTTTGAGAAACATGGAACTCATTGCTTACATTGCTATAGAAGGTATTTTTTATTTATGTATATTAATTATCTCTGTTTGATTTTGATTTTTTTTTAAATTATTATTTTCTCCTCACTCCTTACCAATCCGTAGGTCTAATTTAACAAAATAAACACTCATAATTCATTTTTTTTTTCTTCATTTTTATTTTGCAATTTCGATAGTACTAGGTTCTCCTCTTAAGCATGTAACTTGCTCCAATATTTGTTAGTCTCAGAACAAGTTTGGTCAATAATAGAAAATCCTGAAAAAAAAAAAAACAATACTGGGGGGAATTATATGTTGAAGAGGGGGATGAAGTGTCCCTGAAATGAGGAAGAGAACACTATCTATATGAGTGTTTACTTTGTTGGATTAGAGTTCTGGGCAAGAAGTGAGGAGAAAATAAGAAAGAAGAAAGAAAGGTCAAGATTATATACAATGTAATTCATTGTGATATCAATCTTCCCTCATGACCAAACATTTCAAGGTATGTTTATTAGCATTTTAATTCAGTTTTAAAGATTACCAGAAATCTTGTATAGACCTCAATACCTTAGTCGAAGTGATGGGAAATAAATCATGAGAGAAGTGAATGTGTAAGTGTTTAGGAAAGGAAGTGGCAGGATCCAATAGAACTTTCTTATGACAGAGATTGAATAGCAGTGATTTTTTATACTACTGTTAAAGTTATCCTGTTAATATAATTTAACAGCTTCTTGATAGCAATTGAAGTATAGATGGGTGAGAGGAAAGCCACATCTATTAGTCATTAGAATCTAAGTGATAAATGAAATAACTTATGAATTTAGACAAGTCCTTTATATATATAGAGGCTAGGTGTAGGAAAGTTATGAACCTTCTGAAACATCATGAGAAATGGAATTTTTATTGGGTAATTAGGAGTAACTACTAATAGGAAACAATTAAATAGGAAAATGTCTTGGAGCTCAGAAAGTAAAATTCTGTAATATACTTCATCAAGCATTGAAGAGGTTTTAGGGGATTTAAGGTGGTTAATCGAAGTGAGTCTGTAGCGTGATTTAAGTATTTTAAACATAATTTGAAGCAATGGCTGGATAGAAACCATGATGACAATAGGGTTTTGTTTTGGAGGTTTTCTTGCTTACGTTAATTGGTGAGTTAAATTGAATGAAAATCTGAAAACGTTTCGACAGATTTATTAAGTAGAAATCTCCCAGGAGGAGGAGGACTAAAGTTTTTATACAGATGGTGCACAGGGGCTTTCTTCCAGCAGAAAGGAAATTTCAATTTTGGATAATTTCTATTTCATAGGACAAGTAGTAGGTTAGGTATGTTTTAGTTAATTTCAGGGCTGTTCAGTTCTCATCATCAGGGCTGTATTCATTTATGCAGGATATTAAGATGGTGGTAAGCAGCAGCAGCTCTCGAGAGAAAAGGTAAAAACAAAAAAAAAAAAAATTAATGGAGAATTTTGAGCCATGTTTGAAAAAAAATGGTGAAGTAAAAGGAAATAAATAATTTAAGTTAGGTGGGTGGATTATTTAGGCTTGAAAAAGAATAGTGTTTTAAGGATCTTTGGCTTCAATTTGAATCCAGGGCTTTGGTTAGAGATTCGTGAAGGTAAAGGGATTGATTCTGTGCAAAAAAGTGATGATCTGGTGGCAACCTTATGATAATTACTGACAAGTGGAAAGTTCATATTATAATCTAAGCAATGATACTGATACCATCAAGATGAATTGCTTAATGACCTTGTGAAGAATACATCAATAACTGAATTAACTTGATGTTGATATCTTTTCATTTCCACTACTTAATATTTTATCAGGCTTTTAAATAAAATATACTATTTCCATGTAAAGGACTGATATTTTTTTTCTTTCTTTGATCATTTATATTTTCAATAACTGTGAAGCGCACTGGTCTTCTAATAAAGATGTAAAGAATATTCAAACTTAGTGTTTTTTATTTGAATATTTCAATTTTAATTAATTGACCAAACTTTATTTTTTATGATAGTTTAATTAACCATTGTTCTCATTTTAGGTTAAAATCACCATTACCATGTCCAAATTGTTCTGGAGTCGCTTTTTGTTCAGTTAACTGCTTAAACGATGGTATGAAGTACCATAAATGGGAATGTCCTTACTTAGAACTGTCTATTGGTTCAGGAATGTCTATACTTTCTTTCCTGTCATTGAGGATTATCACTCAACAGTCAATAGATTATTTTAAACCTAGTCTACAAAACAATGAACCAAAGAGTTATGAAAAAGTAAGAATAGAGGGAATGTTATTTCATAAATAAAATTAATACTGGTGAGAGATAACAAAGTGTTGTGAGTTCTTCCACTAAATTTCATAGGTACCACATATGATCTTCAAAGAGCACGTTCAAGGCATTGATAGATTTATCGATTCACATTATAATGATTGTAGAGTGTAAATATAAACCTCTTGATCTATTTCCAACCTAATCTCTGAATCCCTTCCTGAAGAAGATCTATTATGCTGCTTTAAAGGTTGAATTGCACTCCCAATCCTAAATCCATTTTAAAAATTCTTATTGAACTAGCATCCCTCCCATAAAGCAACAATCAGTTTCTCTTTACTGTTACACTTTACAATGTTAATCAACCTTCTTGTCCCCTTCTTTCAAACTCTCCATCTGTATCAGGCATTATAGTTCCATTCCCGTGAACCTCTTCCTTTCCCGCCTCAAATATATTTTCTTAATCAATCTGAATTTTCCCATAAATGATTATAGGCTTGAAAATGTTACTGTCCTCATCCCTATTAATAACTTTTTCATTATATGATCTTCTTCACCAAATGAATATTTCCTCATTCCAATTTTCAGCCTGGTTATGTGACCTAATTTGCTTTTTTATCACTGTCATAAAACCTACAATCTACTTTACTCCATACAGCAGAACTTCAATGCTATCCATCCTTTACACTGGACAGCATATTACAAGCTAAGGAAACTTCATTAGAAAAATTCAAAAAGACTTAAACGTTTTGTACCTAATAAAATTTCAGTTATCTTGTAATCATTTCTTGCTCAACCCTTTCCTAAAAAAAACTACTTATACAAAATTACCCATCATATCATCTCTACTATCAATTACTTTTTCTTCTTTTCCTGTTTAAGTTGATATTCCTAATTGTTAATTTCTTAATTTTTCCACATTTCATTATTGAATAAAATTTATATATAATGCTTCCTCACCACTAACAGGTTCCGTTTCATATTTCAAATTCCCTAAAACAACATTCCCTCTTCAATCTGCTGTCGAACTCCAAATATTGTATATCTCCACTCTTCTAAACTGCCCTAAAGCATTTGGTACAGTTGACCATTACTCCCTACTTTTTTTTTGTGTCCATCTAGTCTTTGGGGCTGTATAGAGTTTTTCACACAAGGAGAGGGGACGGGGAATTAATACTAAAGTTAAGTCCTCCTGTAAGTCTATAAAATAATTCAAATCCTTCATCTCTTTTTTCTCCTCTTCCTTGCCTTCCTCACCTATACAGTATTTTTCCTGGGTCAGGTCAGAGGGTGAGAAGTTAATGTCAGAGTTAAAAGTCTCTCCCTCCCCCAGCACATTTATCAGGTTGCCGGGCAATGCATGTTTTACACACACCTTAGGCTGCTCGGCCACCCTTCCCCAAAAATCCTTCATCTCAAATAGTTTGTAGTATGTAGTTGAGTCAGACAATCCTCAATCCAAAACCTCTTCTTTTTTATTCTGGATTCTCCTCTTTCCTTTTTTTCTCTATTTCTATTTGTCAGAGCTCTGCGCATCCACTAGATTATAATATAGCATTGTTACCTCATCTCTTAGATATATTCACTTTTTCTTGGGAAATTAGTGTTATTTTTTTAGGAAAATTAGGTCCTAGATACAAAATCAAGGTCACACAGCGTGTTTTAATTTTTTTTTTTTTTTAATTTTCTTCCTTCACTTCTCTCTTGATGTGTTATGTGATACTACCATCAATTCATGTTCTCTAAGGATGGAACAGCAAGGTCTCACTCTACCGGATCTACACCATGTTCGTCATCTGTGGAAAAAAAAGTCACCAATCGAAAAGAAGGACGCCACCTGTGACTCCACCTAAAGTAGCAGAAAACACTCAACCTCAGCAGGGTACATCTCAGGAGACAACTGAGGAGTCTCCCTTCTTCACCCCGAATTCTTACGGATACTGCAAATTTCCGTACTGCAAAATGAAGAAGAGGCGATGGAATCTGCACCCATTCCCAGAGACACCTGACCTCCAATTTTCATTAAAAATTAAATGCACACATTTAAACCAAATTAAATCTCCTGTTTAAGCAGCACCAACAATTTTAAAATATCCCCAGGTATAGCTGATGCATACCACCAAACAATTAAATATCTATCTGACACGCAGTTCATTATTTTCACACCTACAGATGAGGCGAAAGCGTTCTCTGAGCGTAGTAATCCGAAATTTACACCCCTCTACCCAAGCCGAGGCAATCCAAGAAGAACTGACGGCCCTAGGTTTCAAAGTCTGACAAGTCACCAATGTTAGAAGAAGAAGAACATAGATGTAGCCAGGGCAAATAGAAAAATACCCTTTCCCATATTTTTCATAGATTTAGAACCCTCAGCAGGAGTCGATAAAATATATGAAATTAAAAAATTATATTATACTAATGTTCAGGTTGAAGAATCATACACTAAAAGAGAAATCGACTAATGTCATAGTTGCCAAGCACATGGCCACACTAAAACTTACTGCCACCACATCCCAAGATGTGTGAAATGCCTGGAAGGACATCCTGCCAACTACAAGGGCTGCCAGATCTACAAAAACATCAAAAATAAATTGTGTGAACCCCGGAACCAAGAAATCTTTAAGCCCAAAAGAGGACCTGCTAAAATAATAGTAGACTCTAATGTTTCCTTTTCCCAGTTACTAGGGGGTAGAGCCCCAACTGACATATGTGAGACCCTGCCGCAACAGGAACCCCAATTCCAACTTCAACATCTTATCCCTCCTAATGTACAAAACCCTCAACGATCTTATCAACATCACTTTCCTCATATTCTCCTCCATCACAAGCCCACAGACCTTACCAGTTAGTTGGCATCTTTCCTCACTGAATTCAAATCCCTTGTTACCCCACTGATATCTCTCCTTACAAATCTAGTATCTCACCTCATCCTTCCTTTAAAAATCTTTAAATGAATTCCATCAAACCCTTATCCATTCTCCTTTGGATGCGAATGGTGTTAGAAATCACTCTGACGAACTGACAGCTCTATTACTAGACAAAAACGTTGGTCTAGCCCTTACTATGGAAACTCGATTGACCAAAAACACCACAGTACTCTACATATCGTACCCACCATCCTGATGTCAGAGCACATGCCAATACTGCTGTAATTGTACACCAATATCTCTCTCATCACCTATTTCCATTACCTACTCATGATTTCCTGCAATCCACAGCTATCATAATCAAAACCTTCTTTCATATTACCCTTGCATCAGCGTATTGCTCTCCCAACCAATCCATCTCTAATACCCAATTTAATTCCATTCTCAATTTCCTAGGACACCATTTCATCCAAGGTGCAGACTTAAATGCCAAGCATCAACAATGGGGTTCAAGAACCACGAATTCTCGTGGCTGAACACTGCTGTCTGCACTCATTTCCCAACATTTTACCCTCGTTCTGCCAAATTCACCTACCTACTAGCCCACTGATCCAAACCGTAATCCCGATATCCTTTATTTCTTCATCTAAAATGGTTTAGATGCCCTCAACTATTCCATTGCACGTCTCGATGAACCTTCCTCAAACCACAGTCCATTAATATTCCAAGTTTTACCAGCTCCTATTCCTAAACCCTCTCCACTGTCCTTTATCAGAGGCCCAGTTAAATGGAAACTCTTCCATCATTCCTTTCTGATCAAATTGACCTCAGAATAAACTTGAAAACCCCAGAAGACCTTAATGATGCTTACACTCCTTTACCACCACCATTCAACAAGCAGTCTGGACTGCTTCCTCCCCTAATCATTCCCCAAGAATTCCAAAGAAAAATAAATTACCTCAACATATCCTTGAGTTAATCCATACCAAACGCTGTGCCAGGTTGTTATGGCAACGCACCAGACGTCCCACAGATCGCTGTTCCTATAATTATTACTGTAAACAATTTAAGCAAGAACTATCCAACTTCGAATCCCAATCCTTTAAATCCTGCTTTGTCTCCCTCTCCGCTCATGACTATTCCCTCTGGAATATCACCAAAACAATCCTAAAATCCCATAATATTTCCCATCCTCCCCATCAAGGTGATGTGGGTCTGATGAAGACAATGATGAGGAATTCGCCAAACACCTCTCCTGTACATTTACTCCTCATCCTGAATCCCATCCCACGCATACTGCAAAAGTAGAAAAATTCCTCCCCTCATTGATTCCATTGATACAACCAGAAGCAGTTCATTCTTCTGAGGTCAAATATCATTTGCCAAAACTATCTTCCCGCAAATCTCCTGGATACGACCTAACCCCACAGATCCTTCATCAACTAACACTCAAAGCGATCATGTTCCTCACATATATATACAACTGCATCCTGAGAATTACCCATTTTCCTCTCTTATGGAATTATTCCACCATCGTCCTTTTCCTGAAACTAGCCAAACCTTCCAATAATACATCATCATACAGACCAATCAGCCTACTCCCAATCCTTTCAAAAATATATGAAAAATCTTACCAAAAAGAACCCTACCCATAATAGAATCACAAAACCTTCCTACCCATCAATTCGGACTTTGTTTCCAACATTCCACTGTTCAACAAGGACTCCGAGTTGTTGACCACCCACATATCTTCAGCCTTTGAAAGCAAAGAGTATTGCTCGGGAGCATTCCTGGACAACGCTCAAGCTTTCGACCGACAGATCCTGAAACAGCATCTTTAAACCTACAAAGTCACCTTTCTCTTATTGAACACTGGTGTAATAAGTGGCTCATCCAAGTAAATGAATCCAAATCCAAACATATCACTTTTACCCTTCGGCGCAAGTCCTGTCCACGTGTCTATTTCAACTCCATATCTCTTCCTCTCTCCGACATAGTCCGATATCTTGGCTTTCTTCTAGATAAAAGACTAATGTGGAACTCACAAACCAGACTTAAAAGACAACAACTTAACAGATGATACAGCTATATAGACTAATGAACAGAAATTCTCATCTTTCACTCGACAACAAACTA